CATTGCCCTTGACATAGGTTAACCATGACGATCAAAATAAGTTGTTCAAAGTCATTTAAAGTGTTTTGATTTGTGTGTTGTCAGCTTTGTCGGATATCAACAAGCACAACCAAATTGAATGGATGAAAATACAAGTTGAAACCAGCCAAAAACTATCTTTAGGTGTCATGTTTTTTATCACAAGTGCTACTGTCAACAGATAGGTGGGATTAGATGATGTTTATCATATGGGCTACTCTAAGTCAGGTTAAGTTGATCAAGTGCATGGCAAGTGGTAATAGGAATTGTGCAAGAATCAGTAACTCACAACTGCTGCTGTGACACAAACAGGTTTTACAGGATGAGATGATGTAAGGCCTCTTTAAGTTAGGCATAGGCTACTTTCATGGAAATAAGCATTGGTATTTTGTGAGAAACAGTCAGAAAATGTTCGTTATCCCTGACCCCATCTTAACAGAAGTCATAAGTATGTCTATCGTGTTGGACGAGGTGATGTCCTGATGTGTATGAGTCCAAGGTTTTTTTTTTTGTTTGAGTGTTTTATGCTTGTTTAATTTTCTGTTGTTATTTTGTTATTGCATTCCTTTGCTTTGTTTTGTTTTAAAAGTGTTGTGGAAGGGAATTGAAGAGTGCAGCATCAAATTATTGGTGTTAATAATTTGTTATGCTCATTTTACTGTCATGAAATTGCTATGCGTTAACACGCATCCGGTTGGCCGGCTAGATACCCTTCGCTTCGTGTGTGTGTGTGGGGGGGGGGGGGGGAGGGTAATTTGACTCCCCTCTGAGATCTCGGGAACTAAGAAAGCTGGAGACACCAAAATTACAGGGTGTCTTGACCTATACCTGAACCCACTCAGGTTAAGGGTTCACCTTCCTAGGTCATGACAATCAGGTCCGATACTGTCAAACAAGGTCAAATTCCAGGTTGGTCTCCAAAGCGACCCCGGAACCTAGGCAACTGTCTCTAAGCAAAAGGTCGCAAGCCCATTTGAGGTCATTGGCCTTGTTTTACCCTTTGATGGTTATGATGACCAAAATGATACAAGACTGCTCTGAGTTTTGCATTTGAATAAGCGACAAAGATTAAGCTAGGCAGTATGTTCCCAAAACAAATGGTTCGACCCGGGTCATCTTCGGTCAATGGCCAGTTCTGACCTCTAAGAAGTCAGTCAAAGATGTATAGGCGGTTCTTGCTGTCAATGAATTCGAAATGAGCACCAGAAACTATCTCATACACTATCTCTCATATCATCTCATATTATCATCTCATAAACTATCTCATACACCCCTAGGGTAACAAATGAAGTTGGTTTTGACCTTGGTCTGACCTTCATACCTGATCTCAGGTCAACGTAATTTGCTCATTCAGTATTTGTGGTGCCTGAGAAAGCATCTCAGGAATGTATGTCTTCGTCAAACAATCCGTTGTTGTATCAGATTGAACGATTCCCTAGAAATTGCCTTCGCTAAAACCATGGGCTGACTTTGACCTGTCATAGGTCAGCGACCTTGCAAGGTGCATCTTAAGTTTGTATGTCACACGATCTGCTATGCAATTTCCTACAGCTATGCAAAATTTGGCGCGGCTACGCCGCGCCGTTCAGAAACCATTCGGGAAAAGCCCTCGCGGGTCAATTTGCCCCCCCCCCCCCCCACCCGAGCGCGTGTTCATGTATTCTGTTTCACTTCAATGGCCTAATATGTTAAAAAAACAAAATAGTTTGTCAGGTTCCTGATATTATGTCCATACCAACTTGAAATAGATGTCTTTGTTTGCTGAAGCATCAGTCACGAGCTCATAAGGTCCATCTTTTGTGAATTGATTTTTTCACTCCCGCACGGTCTTTTTGTGATGGAATTGTTCACTCCCACCCTAGTTCAAAAGCGATTCTAGCTTCATGAAAAGAATCCCACACCAATATTAGGGTCCTGAGCAACTGAAAGTACCCTGGCATATGGGGCCCGGAAAAGCGTATGAAGCCATTCGGGCTAACGGGATTCATCCGAGGAGGAAAACTTGATCGGCCATTGCCCAGGCATATTAGCAAATTATGTCCCAACAGCAACGTAGGGTCTTAGGAGAAAACGCGAAGATATCAAGAGCAACGTGGAAGGCTCCTTAGCGATACTATTGACCAAACAAGTGGATAGATAGGCCCGGACAACAGCGTAACGGGCCTCAAAATTTTCGCCAATCAACACCTTCTCAATCAGCGAAGATTTAAATTCGTCTGCTCATGGGCTCTTCACTTTCGTTTGCAACTGTTCTTGGTTGTCTGTAGCCGAAAAACATCAAATTTTGTTCTGTTTTGTGTTAGATAACCGCGTCGGTTCGGCCGGTTGTGGGCCCCTTCAGGGCCTGTGGGTCCCATCGGGGCACAAAGGGACATGGTCACGTGCCTTCCCCCCCCCCCTCCCCTCAGTATCCGCCAACGGCCTGAGCAGTATCATATATGGGGCGCTGCCAATAACGTAGGGTCATCAATTTAAATAAGAAGAACCCAAGACACAACATGGAAGCTTCCAAACGATCGAGTGTGCCTGACCAGGTTAACAAATCGGGCTCCGACATGAGCATAGGGCCCTCCACTCGACGAAGAAATACCCACGACACAATGTAGAGGGCCTCTGAACGATCGCGTGCGCCAGAACAGCTTAACATATAGGGCCCCCGACAGGAGGCCCCTATCTGAGGGCCTCCATTTAATAGAAAGTACCCACGTCACAGTGCAAAGGGCACCCGAACGATTGAATGTGCCCGGACAGGTTACCAGATATGCCCCCGACAAGAGCGAAGGGCCCTCCATTCAAATAAGAAGTCCTCAAGGTCCAGTGTGGAGGCCCGCAAAACAAGAATGTACCCAAATAGGTTATCAGATGGCCCCCAACAGGAGCGTAGGTTCCTACATTCAAATACCCAATGTGCATGGCCCCCAAATGATCCAGTGTGCCTGAGAAGGTTAAAAGATGGGGCCCCGACAAGTGTGTAGGGTGTAGGTTAACCATTTAACTTGAAAGAACCCAAGACCCAATTTGGATAGGCCCGAACGACCGAGTGTGCCCAAACAGGGTAACCAACGGGTCCCCGACGAGAGCGTAGGCATTTAAGCAAGTGACAAAGAATAGGAAGGGCCTTGGGCCAATGTAGAGGGCCCATGAGCATATCGTGAGTGTGTCGGTAGGTTAACCGAGGCCAACATGAAGGGCCCCTGAGAAACCGAGAATACCCCGACACGTTAGCATATGGGTCCCGCCATTTAAGCGTGCAGAGCATTCCGAGCGGATGGGAAGAATCCGTTAAAGGCTCCTGATTGACAAGGACGCCCCGGCACGGCAGCCTGAAGGGCCCCGGCGACATCCCAGGGCCCTCCGGGGAAATGTAGAAATAGGAAGTGCAGCGTGCCAGGCTTCTTAACTATCGGACTCACCTTGCAAGTGGGCACATGGGCCCCTCTGAAACAGCGTCGGGCCTCTAGACAGTGCAGTGAGCCTTATAATATCCTAATTACGACCCCATCCATCAGTAAAAAGTAGTTGTCTACTCGTTTGCCCCTCACTTTCACTTGTGACTGTTGACTGTTGACGCCTAAGAACACAAATACGTCTAATTTGGTTGCGTTTCGCTTTTCAAAAATGATGCATCTGTTCGGCCGGTTTTGGGCCCCTTCGGAGCCTATGAGCCCGTTCGGGCCCAAAGGAGGGGCATGACCCCATGGACCCCCTGGATCCGCCCCTGGTTGGTACTATTTTTATCGTATATAAATACGAAAACTACACGGAATACGCACAAATTTACAATTCACATGACTTCAGGTCATCGATCTCGCCTGCTTTGAAGACTCTGAAAGATACAAACTCAAGGTACTATCGTGGTTTAGTACTATAGCAAATTGGCAAGAAAAATGGCAGATGACCAAAACAATGGGTGCGTGGTCAAATTCTATCTAGAGTTGACCTCTTTGACGTGGCCGAGGTCACTGATCTTGACAGATCTAAGCCAGAAATTAGAATAAAAGATGCCAAGTTGATAGATGAACAGGTACTGAAAAATGCTGTGTTGCTGCGAGTGTTCACTTTTTATCTGTGCTGGAAAAACCCTAGCGGGAAGACGGCCCCGGCCGGGCGTGAGGTAAGGTTCGATCGCTGACCGCAAAGAGATTTCCTGGTGGAAAGTTAAAACCATGAATTTATTAAAACTGGCAGTGGGGCTGGCTCGGCCTGTTGTTTGCAGTTTGCCGGGGCACACCCACATCAATCAGCTCGCGCCGACCACCGTCCGTTTTTTTCTTCATTTGGTGATGGAGTAAGTTATTTTGCAGTCCTAAGCCTGCTGTGAGTGGGAACATGCATTGGGTAAGATTCGAAACCAGCTGCGAATGAAATGCAACATTATCAAACACAACATGACTTGGTGCGCGCTAGCGATTTCACAAGCTGTCACTCACAGCCTTGCCGCAGGGTTCAGGACTGTGCCAATTGCTTTGTTCGCAACCCTCGTGCTTGCGGTGGAGGGGGAGCATGCAGCCCAGTGGTGTCCGTCCGACAGACACCATGAGTGACGTCACGCGGGGCCTGCAGCGCGCCTGGGTCTAATCCGGCGCGGTCGTCACGGCCCTGCGCTCCACCCATCAGAATGCGCGACGGCTGCCAACTGCGGCGGCGCCCTGGCGGCGGCTCGGCCCGATCGGCCGGAGCCCGGGGCGGCCCAGGATGAGCAGCCCGTTGCCTCACCGCCGCCGCCAAGCGGCCGGCCGCCAGTCATCCGCCGAGGCATAATCCGCTAAGCACATTTGGCGACACCCGCTCACACGCGTGGCCGCCACGGGCGGGCCGCGCGATCACGGGCGCCGGAGCCGACACGTCAGCCCGCGGCGGAGACGCGACCGGCGGCGGCGAAGGTCGCAGCGACGGCCTGAGCTCGGGAGGCCCGTCACCCCATATATACGGCCGGCGCTGCGGCCAGTCAACACAGCAGCGTCGCCTCCGAGCGTTCAGACGTCAGCAGCCCGCGCCTGTCCGTACAGCCACTTTCAGATCGAGCAGCCACGATGCTGATGGCTCCGCTGCGGGTGAGCGTTTGGGTCACTCCAACGCCGGGTGATGTCCGGCGCTGCGGGTGAGCGCGTGAGTCACCCCTGCGCCGGGTGAGGTCCGGCGCTGCGGGTGAGCGCGTGGGTCACTCCTGCGCCGGGTGATGTCCGGTGGTGTGACTGCGATATTTGCGTGGACGTCGGCGTGTTGGGGCACAGCTATGCTCGACGTCTTATATTGACGGGGATGCGCTGGACTGAAGTAGATAACTAACAACCATATTCCATGGCAATTTCGCCACACATCCGCAGTGTTCTAACAACAATGCAAGCGCCATGTTCCATTACCTGGATAACAATAATGTAGGACTGATGATGATATCTTACCGATAAGTTTTCTATCTGTTTATTTACACAACATAAGAGGAGATTCAAAAGTGACTCATAACAGTTGCGTGCCAATGTAAGGCACATTCCACATTAATCCCTCACACTGAAAAAATGCATCGTAACTGAGACGCAGTCGTGCATGCCGCCTCAGACGTGAGTTCCGCAGATTTTTCTCGCAGTTTGTCTGGAACTCCCAGGAAACGTACACACACGGCTCAGCCAACCGTCGCCATTTACATGTAAGGGGGAAAATAAGCCGTCATTAGCCTCACTGTGACCTTACGACACTTGTCTAACATAAACTCCTTTTTATCTGCGAATTCCACGTACTACCTGTTGTCTGTGATGTGAAACCGACCGGCACCTCGCCCCAAACATGATATTGACATCATGTCGATGGGTCAGTGATGCCTCATGCCAGGTAAATAACCGCATACGTTTTTTCTCTGATGATCGCGTGTGTCGACAGATCGTGAGCATCGGCCTGTGCCTGGTGGCCGTCACGCTGGCGGCACCGAGGCTGGTGAAGCGGTCCCCGCAGAGCCAGAATGAGTTACCTGCTTCGAGCAGCAGCGACAAGTCGGAGAGGGACGCCAGGATAGTGACGTACACCAGCGAGAACTTCCAGGATGGCTACAGATTTGAGTGAGTGAGATCGACGGCTGCAGCCCTCCCCCCCCCCAAAATATAATCTTGGCAAAAGGGGGAGGGTGGAGAAAGTTGACTTGTGGATGCGTCGCAATGTAAGAGATATCATCATTTTATGAGGATACGTCTGCATCCCCATCCAGAAGATAAACGCTAGATCTACGACTTTGCACAGAAAGACTGAACTCTCAAAGCCCATTTGCGTTCTCATTTGCGCGGTCAAGCTCTCCTAATATGGAACAAAGACAAAACGAAAACAACATGTAAAAGATGATCGCCCTCAATATCAGGTTTTGGTGCATGTTATCTATCACTTACCGAATCTCTCATTTTGACCGAATCACCCAAGTATAGACATGCCAGATGTATATAACGCGGATGATGTGCGTTTGACGAGTATACATGCCGGCTTGTATTGGTGGATCACGGTGGCGTTGCATTGGCACAGGTGTAATATGGCTGCCGTGCAAGGGCGTTATTGCGACTGGAGCATTATTACTCAAGCAGGTGGAACCCGGGGACAGCGAGAGGGAACGTGGAACCGTGCCCGACCCACCGTTAAGAAAATTAACTCATGAGACGGGACTCATTATCGCGCCAGCTGTTCAAGTGTGCACCGAGCCTGTAACTCAGTCGGCTCACGCACCACATGCTATAATTATTTCATTTGTGTAGGTTATATAACGTGAAGTGTATATATATATATATATATATATATATATATATATTTATATATATATATACAATATCTAGCTATCTATATAGCTATATACATATGCACAAACAAGGATACATAGATATATGTGCATATAGGTTATACAACGTTAAAAACCGATGCGGGCCCACTATATCCACTGCTAGGCTATGGGTGGCCCTCGGCATAATAGATATGGCGGGTATATCACTGCTGTTTCCCATTGCCCTGCACACCATTTTAAAAATTATTTCGCATGGTTTGCATTGTGACCTTAGGTTCAGATTACCTGCTAAGCATAGCTTGTCGCGTGTACGCTGAACCCAACACCCAAGTCTCGCCGTCTGGTTCAACGGATAAGTTTGCCTGCGCCGTCCCACCAGACCGGAATGCGGAGGGCTTTAGTGCCGCGCAGTGCTGCGGCACGGCCGCCCCGGGTCTGGGCATCACACACTAGCTGCGTTATCTTCCTTTTCGTAAGTAATGTCTACGTGCTTTGTCACGCCTCAGCGTCTCGCGCCATGCCGGCAGGTTCGACACCACGAACGGCATATCGCGAGAGGAGGTGGGCAAGGTCTTCAACGGGCCCTCCAACAACACGGGCGTGATGACCACCGAGGGCCGCGTCCAGTGGAACACGCCCGAGGGCACCCGCATCGAGATCCTGTTCCACGCCGATGAGAACGGCTACCAGCCGAGGGTGAGGCTGCACGCGGCGCGGCGCTGGTCGCGTGCCAGCGGTCAGCGTCTGCTGCTCGCTCAGACATGGCTGCCAGCTCACTTGTTTTGAGGTGGCTTGTGCTATTCCATGGCTGTCTGTGGACGCCGGGCTGATACTATCCAGCGTCAGGAGATCTCGAATTGATTTCCGAATTTGTACGGTGAGGTGGCGGTCTTGTTGAGTTGTTTCTTGAAGCAAATTAACAATTCCTCACACCTTTTGCGGTTCGTGCAAGCATACATACATACTTCTGAGATGGTTTACCCCTTGAGTGTTGTAGGGAATGCCAGGCATTCAGCTTAAACTATCAATTATTTTATGTATACGATGCCCTTCAGTAATGCTGTGCAAACCTCAATATTATATGCCTTTGTCGTTTACTACGATGCATTTTTGAATGCTTTCTGGTGATCAGACAAGCTGCAACAATCGCACCCAGAGCGGTTGGACGGGTCAGTTTTCGAACACGTTGTCCCGCTGCCACGCGAGCGGCCTTGCTGCGGCCGTACTCGTCCGCGGTGTTTCGCTTCATCTGCGACTTCTCCTGCTCACCATCCGCAGGGCGTGCACCTGGTCTCCACACACTGGCATCCAGTCGCCGAGCTTCCCGATGCGATCACGGACTACAAGCTGCTGCAGTCCGTCCAGCAGGAGCACGATGAGAAGGGGGACATCATCTCCGAGGAGCTCATACCATCGGCCATCATCCCAGGCTCCACGTTCTGAAGTGCTGCTCCTGCCTGCCGCGCTGCTCACAACCTGTCCGCTTACGCGCATGTAGATGTAGGCAAGCATGATAACGTAATGGGGGGCGGCATGTCGGTGGAGACGTGAAGCCAGCATCACGTGTGGTTTAGTCATTGCCATGTCCAGGAGCACAAAATAGCTGAAGTCCAGTTGAAAATTTTGTCGGCCAAAGGACACAGGTTATAGTCAAAATTTTGTCCGACCGGAATCGGGCCACTATTTTCGAAGCATTTTTCCTTTCCACTCATCTTACCAGCCCCCCAGCCGTCCTACCGACGTACAGATACTCTTTTAGCAGGGACAATGAGTTATTGCCCTGCAGCCTGTTTAGTTCATATGTGGTAGGTGCATCAGACTGCTTCATGAGGATGAAAGTCAATGTGGCGCAACGCAAGGCATAGCAGGGATCAGCTGCACCCAAATATGTGAAGCGTTCCCGCGTGTAAATGATTACAACGCTTTTGTACTGTTGTGTGTTCTCGTTTTATATCATACTGTGTTCTCGTTTTGCATCGTTGTATCTTCTCGTATTGTACTAATGCCTCAGAAGTCGTTATGAAACACGTCTGTTGTGTTGTCGCGTAAAATGTGTGATCAGTAGATAGCGGCATGGTTTAATCGTGTGTTTCACTGTTTAAAAACCGTTTCGTCGGCAGTTTTTAGTACACATCTGCCCAACCAGAAGTGGGATAAAAACGAAATGTATAGCCTTCTGCTCGGCTTGCCACAGCCCGATGATTGTGTGCTTCTGGAAAAAGAACCAATAAAGCGTCCCCAGTCTCATCAGAGATACTGCGAAGCACACGGAGCAGACATGGGAGCAAATGCCCAGAAACCGTCAGAGCGCTAAAACGGTCGGCGACCGGAGACATGTGAAGATGTCATCACTACAAGAATCACAATGCTGACAATGAATTCCTAGATCAATGACAGCTGCAGGGCCATCACATGGCTACTCACTAGAATAACGGCAACGATGGCGGGAGTCAAACTGGCAACGGCCGATCAGGTGATTGGTGGCAACGGCCGATCAGAAGCTGCGGTCGGAATTCTTGTCTCGAATTCGAACCACAAGGACTCTGAAATCGGAGACCGCTGTTATGGTTTCCCATCTCACAGCCACATACTCGAATGAAGGTCACCATGATGACCTGAGATCACTAAAATTACATTTGTGATGAAATAAGATCCTTAGAGTATAATGACACCTTTTTTGTTCTTTAAGCCATGAGTTGCTGCGGTCTTAGAAGGCTGCATCAGAAACCAGAGGGAACCCACTGAAATGAAGGTTGTGTAATTTACCAGAGACCATCAGACACACAGAGCCTTCGAAATACTGATAAACTGCGAGCGGAACAGTACTGATATTTTGCTTTCAATTGCATTCCTTAGCAGAGCACCGTCAGGCCTGATTAAATTCCTCTGAGGATTGATAATGTAGCTTTATACCAGAAAATGCATCTCTTGGCCATTTCAAGACCCCCAAAGACCTGAAAGAGAACCTCAGGCGTAAAAAAGATGACTTAGCACGTGCTTGATGGAGATGAATTTGTCCCCGAAAGTGTTTTGGGAAAAATTTTCATGAGGCACGGCGTAGCTGCATCAAACTTTGCGTACCTGCAAGCAATTTAATAGTAGATCTTTTGGTGTCGAAAGAAAACATGTAACCCGCGAGGTCTCTAACCTATGGCACGTTAAAGCCAGAGCGTTGCTGTCGGCGAAAACGATTTCTAGGGAATCGTTTAATTTGATGTCATAACAGAGTGCTATACGAAACCAAATATCTCTGATATAGTTTCTTAGACAATTACAGACCATGGTCAAAATCAACCTTCTTCATACAGAAGAGCTGCTTATGGGGCAGTTCCTGATGCTCATTTTGAATTTCTTGATTACAGGGACCGTAGCAGATATCCTCCATGGATTTCTTAAAAGTTAACGCAGGTCACTGACCTAAAAATTCCACAAAAGCTTTTGTGTTTTATAAACATACCATCTAGTGTAGCTCTTTACACATTTCAAATTTAAGAACACAAAGTATCTCCTAGTATTTTTGTAGACCTCTACCTGACTTTTGAAAAGTCAGGCAAGGTCACCGACCTAAAACAGCATCAGTGACCTTTGCTTAGATCCGGTTCAAAGCGGTAGCACGAAGAGACCTGAGGCACTTTGAACACCAATCTAGAATTGACTTGGTCGTTGGTTGACCTGATATGACCCAAATTTATTTGACGGGTGTTTCTGAGGCTGAAAAAGGAAGCTAAAAGTTTTGAAAACTCTCACCCGATCCATATCAGGTGGGCTACGGACTTTTCCGGACTTTTCCGGGGATGCCCTGACGCATGATGTATTTTGGAGAAGGAAGGGGAAAGGCGATCCGCACCTCTGTCTCTCCATTTTTTGAAACATGGAAAATCCGCAGAAAAAAAATCGTAGCACGGGCCTGGTTTCGGGCTTAAAGAATGTGGAAAGGATTAACTGCGTCAGCTCTGACTCGAAGGACACTGTCTGCGTCATGCGAATTAGTCTTCATCCATAAATGACGAATTCTGTCCATAGATGTCATTGTGGCCAAGTGACTTTGAATGATATGCCAGCGTTGGAAATGTTTCCATGCGCGTGCGCGGGTACGCGAACGCACGAATGCGCCGGTACGCGTGTGCGCGCGTGCAAGTGTGCGTGTGCGTCTGCGTATCGTGTGCGTGCGCGTGTGCGTGTGCGTATGCGTGCGTGTGTGTGTGCGTGTGCGCGTGCGTGTGCGTGTGTGCAAAAACATATGCCAGTGTTCCGTCTTTTATTAAGAATGATCCTATTCGTCACATGCTCGGAGGGTTACGAATGTGACGGATCCTATTCGTCACATGCTCGGAGGGTTGCGAATATGGCGGATCCTATTCGTCACATGCTCGGAGGGTTACGAATGTGACGGATCCTATTCGTCACATGCTCGGAGGGTTGCGAATGTGACGGATCCTATTCGTCACATGCTCGGAGGGTTACGAATGTGACGGATCCTATTCGTCACATGCTCGGAGGGTTGCGAATGTGACGGATCCTATTCGTCACATGCTCGGAGGGTTACGAATGTGACGGATCCTATTCGTCACATGCTCGGAGGGTTACGAATGTGACGGATCCTATTCGTCACATGCTCGGAGGGTTACGAATGTGACGGATCCTATTCGTCGCATGCTCGGATGGTTGCGAGTGTTGCTTAACTGCTTTACGTAATCAGGTGTGGTGATAATCTAACAGCTATTGTAGGTGCCACCACTGGTACGAAATGGCTGACAACAGCGGCCACAAAAGCCTCCACGTCCAGCTCGCCACCCAGTGTGCCTCCACCGGGGAGGGGCCGACACCAGGTGGCAGTGAGGCGCAGTCGCTTCTGGTGGACGGTTCGGTGGTCGCTTATTGAGCTTCCTATCTGCCAAATACGTCATTCCTAATCTGGTGGTCCTGCGTGACCACTTTCCAGACCATTCCTAATCTCGTGGTCCTGCGTGACCACTTTCCAGACCATTCCTAATCTCGTGGTCCCGCGTGACCACTTTCCAGACCATGACGCTAGTGAAATGACCCGAATTACAATGGTTCAATCCAGGTCCGTAGCCAGTCGGGCGCACTGGGCATCCTTAAATCCCACGGAATGCGCGGTGCAGCGCCGGCCTCTTCCGTGACTCCTGCACTTAAGGTGTGATGTTTTCACAGAGGCTGGATAAAACCATTCCCTATATTGAGTTCTACAACTAATGCAACAAAAAGCTGCTGTAGTCAACGTCTATATCATGCCAAGTTTCTCCACAGTCTCAAACCTTGCATAATTTTTCATACTTGCGTTTCGAGCAACTGCCTAAGTTCTTATGTTGACTTGGAATTTCTTTTCACCATAAATAAGTTTGGCAAATTTTCCATGGCAACCGGGAATATTTCGTCGGTGGGTAGCTATACGACGTTTAGCGTCACTCGCGACCACTCAGTGACGATCAGCATTTGCAATGGGATTTGGATGCCACGGTGTGTCTGGCTGTGCATCGGGGCGAAGCCGGCTACGTCTTCGGCTTTGCGAAGCAGCGTTTTTTCTGTGATGGTTTCGGGGTTCGGCTTCGGCTTTGTGTCATTTGATATCATATTTTATTTGGAGTGGCTACTACGATTGTGCCATATGTAGCAGCCTGTTTCGAATTACCCCTTCGCTTTCGAGCAATGTTAGGGGTAGTCGGTACGAATTCGGCTCATGTGATTTTAAACTCTTTCATCAGCTTTGTTGTTGTAACATTTTCCCTGCAGTTGCGACGTAAGTCAAGGGTGCACATAAAAGGTAAGAAGTGGTGGGGGCAGGGGGGGGGGGGACTGAGCAGGAACAAAAAGCCAAACTACAGGAGCCGCATCATACATCTTTAATTGGCTTTCTAAAGGTCAGATTAGGTCGCTAGCCTAAATTGACACAAATCAGCATTTTGTTTCGGAGAACATAGCGCCCTGCCGTATCCTTGACGCTTATTCAAATGCAAAAAATCAAAGCAGTCTTGTATGGGTTTGGCCACCATAACCTTCCAAAAGTAAAAAAAAGGTCGCTGACCTTAAATGAGCAGCAGTGACCTTT